GAGAACTCATCAGTTCTATTGAAGATCCGTCTCCAGGACTCCATCTACGTACCAACCAGACTGAAGCCGTGTCTGTGTGGCAAAAGGAACCCTAACAATTAACTTCTCTTATTGGCTCCCTTTGGTCTGTTAAATACCATTAAAAAAAGTTTTGGTATATCTGTTATCAAATACCTGTTGATCCTGCCAGAAATCCAGTGCTGTCCTGTGTCTTGCACACTCTGCAATGTTATCAACTCTGCCCAGTTCTCCCTGTAGACTACAGATCACCTACCCACTATGGAGATAAGGGCAAGGGTAGAGGTTCTTTAGTCCTAACACAATTTAAGGGTGACAAAACTGCTTCCTTAAAGGGTAAGTCCACTTTCTAACAAAATGTGAGAAAATGAACTTACCCACACCAATCCGCCTCCTCTCCCTCCCCCCACCGTTCATACCTTTACACTGCAAGCTTCTTATCAGAATATAAATTGATTGGCTCCTTGTGCTGCTTCTTCCACTTCCACTCCCGCCCTGCTGTAGAGGGACTGCAAGAGGTTGATATTAAAGGAGAACTATGGGGTTAGGGCTTTTCCCCATAGTTCTCCTCAGGGTAACGGGAGGACACAAACTAGCGTCCTCCCGTCACCCTAGGCTCAGTATACCGCAAGCTGTAGCTCGCGGTATACTGAGACGCAGTGCCGGTGCTAGGATTCTTGCCTACACAGGCAATGTGCATTTTTGCGTCCCCCCCTTCCCCGACCCCCTGTAGCGCTGGGCCTGCTTGCGCTATGTTTTTTTTCTTCCACTTACCTTCGGCGCGGGAGAGCAGCGGCTAGTCAGCGCTGGTCCGGTGGGAGGAGCTCCAGGTGGGGTCCTAATTTAGCTGGCCGGCGACTGCCAGAGGTGCCGTGCGTGTCGGGATCCTCTGGCAACCAAATTGAGGTACCTACACTGCTTGTATTGGGAGAAAAAGTAAATAAATGTAATGATGCATTGATAATTACAGAGCTGCATTAACACTTGTGTCATCTGCCTAGAGTTCAGTGTGTTTGTTATAGAGGATTATAAAAAAAAGGAGGGCAACCTCGGGGTTTTGGTTTAATTTGTCACCAGAACAGGAAGTGAGGGGAAAGCGTCTTCATGGGATAAAGACAACCACCTGACAAAAAAGAAAAATTATAGGGGTGTTAACTTTTCACTGCTTCTCTGCAGAATCCTAAAGTTGAACTCCGGCCTTCCCTCAAGTCTTGCCCATTTGTAGCGGCTCCTCTCCTGGACTGAAATGGCTTCCTCTGATGTCACTGCACACTGGAAGCTTCTCACCATGTGCATTAGAAGCTTCAGAAAGTCAGATAGAGCCCGCCTCGTTTCCTGGCTGGAGGATGCTCAGTATCATCTAGTGCTTTCTTCTCCAGTGACTGTCCCTGGCCCGCCCCTTTCATCCATTGGATTTCAGTTATTTCAATCATGGAGGCTCAGCATCACATGTGGGTGTTGCCTAGTGTGGGGGAGGGGGGGGTCTGCTTTTTTCAGGGCTGAACATTTCCAGTTGGGGCAGCCGGGGCTACTACTCTCCTAGGTGGGGAAGTGTAATAGGAACTTCCTTTAGCAGAGATGACACACCGGTGACAACATTTACCTTTACTGCCATAGTTCCCCTCCACAAGGTTACCCAATACACAGTGTGCGGCCGTGCAGGAGATAAGAGGTCATGTAGACTTTGCACAGGATAACAGGGTAGAGGAAACTTGTCATAACCGATATAAAATATATACTCCTGGCAGTGGCCTCACAAGGGGGGTGCGGCCCGCACCCGGGTGACACCATTGGAGGGGTGACATCAAAATGACTGACAGTCATTTTGATGTCACCCCCTCTAAAAAGTCGGGCACTCGGCGGTCATGGACCGGGAGCCCGACAGTGTCAGGATAGATGAGGGAACCCTGCAGCATACCTCAGTCCCCTCCTCTCTCTGCTGGCCTCCATCACTAAGATGGCCGCCAGCAGGCTTCAATTAGATGACCGCGCATGCGCGATGACGTCACGGCGCGGTGTCACCCGGTCTCAACTCCATGTGACACCCGGCCTCGGGATGCCCCTGACTCCGGGTATCCATCGGAGCCCCTCCTGCTGTCCCTCATCTTGTGACTTGCTGCAAAGGTACAGTGTATCAGCCTCCATTCACACTTGGGAGGCGCAACATCGTGCATTGCGCATAGGGCAGCCCATTCATCTCTACTTTGGGGAGCCATTATCAATGAATGCCACCCCCGGTCGCAATACGAGTTTTCCGCATGTCTCATAAACAATTGAGGAATTTTGTGCACATTCATGCACTACACATGTGTGGATGTGAGGTTAAATCTGATCACCGGGGGGAGAGGAGACTGAGGAAATGCATCTTGCTGGCTGCAGCAGACTGATCCGAGGTGTGTGGGTAGGAGGGCACTTTAAAAAAATATGGTCATCTCGCTTGAAGGTTCCTTGAAGTTTTTATTTGATTGGAAATGTGAGATACAGCCAACACATTTCAGGGGGAATGGACACCCCCTTCTTCAGGGCTTGAGCAACTATATGGAATGGAATCTGGAAGAACTGCACTTTGGAATTAGGGCTAAGTGTGAACATGACCTATTTGCAGTCGAAAGACAACCTCTGCCTACCCATTGTTGATGTTTACATCTCCCCCTGGCCCGGAATGAGTTATGCACCAGGCAGCAGCACAGACACCGAATTACCTCAAACTTTAGTCATTCAGAATAACTGAGGGCCGAGGTCATTCTGCGCCTGTGCTGCTGCCTACCTGTTGTTGTGTATGTTTGCATCCCCCCTTTTCCACTGCCTAGTAAATGACTCATTCAGGGCCAGTAGAATATATCAGTAGAGGCGGATGTAAACATAATCAATGGGTAGGCAGGTGTGGCAGTGGTGCATGGGGGAGTGTAAACATAAACAATGGGTAGGCAACAAAAGCAGTGAAGCAAGGAGTTGTAAACATAAGCAATGGGTAGGCAGGAGTACCAGTGTCACAGAGGGATGTAAATATAAGCAGTGGGTATGCAGCAGTGGCAGTGGTGCAGGGGGTGTAAACATAAACAATGGGTAGGCAGGAGTGCCAGTGTCACAGGGGGATGCAAATATAAACAGTGGGTATGCAGCAGTGACAGTGGTGACGGGGGTTGTAAACGTGAACCATGGGTAGGAAGCACTGGCAGTGGCACAGAGGGGAAGTAAACATTAACAATGAGTGAGCAGCGACAAAGAGGAATGTAAACATAAACAATGGGTAGGCAGCAGCGGCACAGGGGAGTGTAAACATAAACAATGGGTAGAAAGCCAATGCATTGGTAAGGGGGGTGTAAACATATAAAATGGGTAGGCAGCAGTGTTGCCGAGGCGATGCAAAAATAAACAAAGGTTAGGAAGCCAATGCATGGCGAATGGTGGGCATAAACAATGGGGTAGGCAGCAGTGGTGCAGGGGAGGTATAAACATAAACAATGGGTAGGCAGCAGTGGTGCAGGGGAGGTATAAACAATGGGTAGGCAGCAGTGGTGCAGGGGAGGTATAAACAATAGGTAGGCAGCAGTGGTGCAGGGGAGATATAAACATAAACAATGGGTAAGCAGCAGCACAGACACAGAATGACCTTCAGTTATTGTGAATGATTGACTTGGTACAATGCTCAACATCTTTTTATGTATAATGGTGCCCATTCAAACGTGAGAGTTGGGTCGCATGTCGCTTTCTTCAGGCAGAGTCCCGCATTTTTGGCCCCATAGACTTCAATGTGAGTGCCTAAAAATGCCTGAAGCCTCCTCCTCCTAGTAGCTAGCTGTCCATTGGCTTCTGTTGGCTAAAACAAAGAAGCCCAATCATGAAAATGCTGGAAAAAAACACAAAAAATGTTTAAAAAAACCTGAAACCGCTTGTGCTCAAGTGTAAATGGGGAACTAAAAGGGAATCTTCCCCAATGAGACCCAAGTGGTACAAAAAAGGCAACGGGGATTCAAACACTTCCCTACTCTATCCAAAACTAAAAACAATTTAGCTTTGAATATACTTTAAAAGGTCTATTTAGACACCCATTATTCACCCAAGATTCCCACATTTTTTACCCAGGATTCACACATTTTTCTAACTGTATTTTATTGGAAAGTTGTGTGAATCTTAATTTTTTACATAAAACTCTTAAAGGAGAACTATGGGGTTAGGGCTTTTCCCCATAGCTCTCCTAAGGGTAACAGGAGGACACAAACTAGCGTCCTCCTGTCACCCAAAGCTTAGTATACCGCGAGCTACAGCTCGCGGTATACTGAGACGCCGCATCCGGAACGGATCCCGACAATTCTGTCTGGATCCACCCAGCTGCGTGAGTGACAGCTGGCTCTTCCTATCTAGAGGCAGAGCCAGCTGTACCCGCCCCCTCCCCCGTCCGTTCCGCCAGTCAGCGCTGGAGGATCAGACAGGGGAGGGGGGAATCCAGTTCCTCCCCTGTCACGGCTCTCTGCAGGGATAGATCGAGAAGTGAGCGAGCGCCGGTATGTGTTCGCTCACTTCCCGATCTACTGAGCCGACGTGTGTTTCATTGTCACAGGTCGGCTCAGATTATGAGGCTGAGTGAAAATAACTCACCTCATAGTTCTCCTTTAAGTATCAAAAGGGATAGAAAGTAAGAAGCAAGTATGGTAAATATATCAGTATTTCCTCCCACCGTTCTTAGGAAGATGACCCAGTATATAATAAATGACCTCGGGGACACGCAGAGATTGGTCATCTTGCAGGTCGTTATTTTAGATTGTGCCATCTTATTCTGCGAGTCTCTGCGTAGCTCTTTCACAGTGCGTCACCGTCTATCTCTCTCACCGAGTCCAAATTCCAGTGTGATGTGAGTCAGTGTTATCTGATGGGTTGGGTCTGGAGATATAAGAGAACAGGATCCGACTCTTCTCTACAGTACCAGCAAGCTCCTGCACTACTTCCTCTTCTTCCATCTGCTCCCATCGACCACCCTCACCATGTGTACAGGAAAATGTGCCAAGTTCATCGGGATCGCCCTCTACCCCTTAGTTCTCATCTCCCTCATCGCCAACATAATCCAATTCTTCCCGGGATGGGAGATCGATCCTATCAGCAACCCATCGAACCAGATGACACCAGAAGTTCTATACCTGGGCGGAGTCATCGGAGGTGGATTACTGGTAAAAGTCTTATTTTCTCTTAAAATGTGCTCATAGCTAACAAATATTTAACATGTTAGACCACCAGAAGCTGATATTATAGTCGAACTTCCAGCTGGCTTTAAATCTAGCAGCGTTGTATGTGTCATTTAACTGGACTAGAACTCTTTGACTAATAAGGGTCTGAAAACTAGGAACGTACAGAGATGCCGATTACTTGTTCTTATAGGCAATGGCGCATGAAGATGTACTGCGGTCATGAAGCGGTTAATCAGAGAGAGTGAAAAAAACTATTTTTTGGGGTACTTCGGGTCATCTTTGGTCAGTAGTTGGGAGATTAATCTCACGGGTTATTCCCCAATTGGAAAAATTGCCCAAGAATATCCTAAATGAGCAATGTTAGAGCAAGTAATGTCCTGCTCCCAAGGTCTTTATAAGAAGAGACAGGTGATAATAGTTTCTGCTACATAATTAAATGGCGTCATTGTGATATTGGGAGAGATTAATCGTGGAATTGGGTGTTGGTATTTGATACCCCATTCGGTTGGTATTCTATATGTACCATTGTGCGATTGCGGGAGATGCATAGTGGATCCCATCGCACTCCTGACCGGATTAAACCCACAGTAAGTCGGGTGGGTGCTTGAAGTGACTGCAGATGCCTCCGCATATCAAAACGTAACAAACCAAAAAGTCACTTGCACTCCATTGTGAATAAAGGTCAATCTTCTTTATTGAACCATAGTAGTGTCGCATTTGCTAATGATATTGAACGCTCAGTCACACTACTGAAAATCTCTTATGTGGTAGCTCACATTAAACATTTTGACCCCTTCATCCATTGATACAAAGAGATTGATCTCATAACATTTTACCAGCGAAGTTAAACCACTGTGTAGCCCACGGGTAAGAAAGAGAACACGACCCTATGACAATATCAACGGGAAGATGAGGATGGGGAATCAATTGTATAGATCTTACTAATGGGCTTCCTGAGAGCTCGAAGAAGCCGGTCAAGTGATTAAAATGTCTGTACCAAAATATAAGCTTTGAATAGAACCGTCCTTATATATTCTTAATTTTTGTCTGATAGGTACTGATTCCAGCCATCCACATTCAGGCCACAGGACGGCAAGAAGGATGTTGTAATAACCGTTGTGGGGTAAGATTCTGATTGTATGTTACGTATATGCATAAATTATATAGCCACTTTGTGAACACCCGACCATCACCAAACAATCAAACCTACATGAGCTTCTTAGACTTCCCATTCCAAAACCATGGGTATTAGGATGGAGTTGTCTGCCTCCCCTTTTGCGGCTATAATGGCCTCCACTCCTCTAGGAAGGCTTTTCATAAGATTTTGGAGTGTACGGGAATATGTTCCAAAAGAGGTCAGTTGCTAATGATGAATGAGAAGACCTGGCTTGCAATCAGCATTGCAGTTCATCTGAAAGTGGTTCAGTAGGGTTGAAGTCCGGGCTCTTTCCAAGTCTCTCAAGTTCCTCCACACTGAACTCATAAAACCATGGGGGCACAAGTCATGGTGCAATTTGTCCAAAGATGTTCAGTAGGGTCGAGGTCAGGGCTTTTTCTTTCCTCCTCACCAAACTCATCAAACCATGTCTTTATGGAGCTGGCTTTGTGCACAGTGGCACAGTCAGGTGGAACGGAGAAGGACCTTCACCAAACCATCACACAAGACTGGAAGGACACAATTGTCTCAAATGTCTTTGTATGCTGCAAAATTAATGATACTCATCATTGGAAACACCTGAACCCAATCATTTGGAGGGGTTTCCATACTTTTGGCCATATAGTATAGCAAGATTACGGCCAGGGCTGCACTGGAAATTACATCTCTTTCCTATGGAGAGTTTTTCACAATTTTTTAGCAATTTCCTCATTAGACGTACAATAATGATTTGCATGTCTCCGCCTACTATCCTTACTAGAGAATAAAACCCGTCATTCTGCAGATTTGTGATGGAAACAATGAAATATCTAAAAAAAACATAAAAAACGATAAAGCTTTAGTATGGGTTTTACTGGTCTGTTATTCAAATGCTACATGCGACTAACTTTTCCAACCCTTTCCCTCCCGCAGATGTTCCTGTCAATCATCTTTGCCGCTATAGGAGTTGCTGGATCCGTCTACGGCTTTGCCGTGTCCGTTGTGGGCATGGTGAAGGGACCCACTTGCCTGTATCAAAACTCAACCACCACAGTAACGTGGGGGCGACCCTTTTATACAGAGCTTGATAAATTCAGGTAAGACTTGCAGGTCATCCTATGCACTACTTTCTTCCTTGTCTTCTTTTGGCCTACAGAATATCCCTCCCTAAATTTGGTGGAACCAATTGGAAGGCATTCCCTGTTGCCACTTAAAGTAAACCTATAGTCATCTTAAATAGTGTGATGCTTCTATGGGTTCGGGGAAGAGAAGGGGGAACACAGAGTTCAGGTATGTGTCAGGAGTTGGTGATGACCTCACAAACAACTGCGGGTTAAGAAAAGGGGTGTTCTCACTCTTCAGCCATACAGAATGGTGTGTGTGTGTTTAGGGGGGGGGGGGGGTTTCACCGTTTAAAAGAAATTGATT